GCCCCCTGTTTCCCATGAATATCCTGATTATTATGCCCAACCACACACACACAAACACACACGCACCACACCCCTCATTTGGGACCTCTACAGTTCTCAGCATGTTCTTGTCTCCCACAGAATAAATAACTCAAGTTGCAGGACAAAAACGGTTTTTATGCTTGTGTCCTGCTCCCTCCCAGCCAGTGGCTTGCTGGGTAGCATAATTTAAACGGTTTGTTTGATGATGGAATGCCAGCGCCTTCCTTCCCTGTCTGTAATCCTCCCTGGAATTCTGAGGCATCCCTGTGTCGTGGGGCTGTAAATTCAAGTCCTCTTTATTTGGTGTGTGACATTCCTCAGAGCTCTGGCTTTCCTGTCTCTTTGGAATGGTCTTAGCTTCCAGCGAGCATATCCTGTCATTTCTCAGTGCATCTTAACCCGTGACTCACCAGGGAGTCATTCTAGTCACACACACATACACACAGTCTCCAACTAACCTACAGAGCTCAGGAATCTGGTTGTTAGCCATTGGCTAGCAGCCAGAGGCTGTGCTTCATTACAGACTAGCTGCTGGCTCTAAGGTTGTCACTCGGTGTGAGCTCATTCTGTTTTGACCCTCGGCATCCCTAAGAGGCTCGTGAGGGTTTTGTTTGGATTTGTTTTTTTGCCATCTGAAAACCAGACTCTTGGGAGCCTGAGATTCCAGAGTTTGGCCACTAAGCTACCTCCCCAACACCCTGAGGATGGCTTTTGTTGTTTGCAGTGCTGGGCATTGAACTCTGGACCTTGTGATTGTTGGGCAAGCGCTCCACCACTGAGCTGCTTCTATTTCCACCCCTTGTTTGTCAGTTGGTTTCTTTGAATTCTTCACAGAGGGCGTCAGAGTCCTCTGGAGTTGGAGTATGGGCAAGTAGCTCTGAGCTAATCAGCATGGCTGCTAGGCATTGAACTCGGGCCCTCTAGGAGAACAGTATACACATTTTTTTTTAAAGATTTTATTTATTATGTATACAACATTCTGCTTCCATGTCTAGAGGGCACCATATCTCGTAAGGGATGGTTGGGAGCCACCACGTGGTTGCTGGGAATTGAACTCAGGACCTCTGGAAGAGCAGCCAGTGCTCTTAACCACTGAGCCATCTCTCCAGCCCAACAGTATACACTTTTAACCACAGACATCTCTCCAACTCCTTGTTTTTAATCCTTACAGAGATGCGGAAACAGCCTGGGCTACTGAGTGAGACTCTCTCTCAATCCAAAACTAGGAAGAGGAAACTGAGGCATAGAAGTGATTTGCCTAGTCTCCCTGCTAGGAAAGGGCTGAGTAGGGACCAAGCCACAGCCCGAGTTGCCCATCTAGTGCCAAGAGCCACCAGGGTTACAAGAGGTGATTGTGAGTCAACCAGCCCAAGACCAGACTCAATAAAAGGAGCTGTTTGCTTCCTGAATGCCACTGTGCCCACAGGGCCTGGACTGTGTATCGAGGGGCTCCCTAGGAGCTGAGTCCTATGTCTGCCCCCCTCCCCCGCCCCCCAACACACATACATACATTCATAGTGACTGAGGCTTCCCCCAAGGTCAGGACTGAGGCTGGCCCTCCCCGCCTCTACAGAGTTGCACATTCCCAGCCACCCCCAGCTGTAGGAAAGTTCCCAGCCTGGCCCAGGCTCCCAGCGGCGCCGGAATTCCCGGTATTCAAGGAGGTAGGGAGGGAGAAAGGGTTGTCTGCTGCAGAGCCTGGCTCAAGGAGAAACAATTCCCCTCTCCAGATGTGTTCCAGCTGTGCCTTTGGGAAAGGAGCCATGCGCCCAGTAAAGGGGGTCTCTGGTCCCTCTGGGAAAATCATAGGTCCTCAGCAGCTCCTTCTCTCGATGAGTTCCATTCTTACTCCAAGTCCTATCTATGCCTTGCAGCCCAGATTACCAGGGCCTCAGGGGGGGTTGTCAGCCTGCTCACAGCTACAGTCAGGGTGGGGGACAGTGGTTATGTGGCCAGCACCTGCATTCCTAGCTGCGCCAGAGGCTGAGGCAGGAGGATCTGGGAGGCCAGCCTGGGCAACACAGCAAAAGCTCTTCTTAGAAAACAAAACGAACCGGGCATTGGTGGCACTCGCCTTTAATCCCAGTATTTATGGGCAGAGGCAGGCGGATCTCTGAGTTTGAGGCCAGTCTGGTCTATAGGTTCCCAGACATCAAGGTTTGGGTTTTTTTTTTTTTTTTTTTGGGGGGGGGGGGGGGGAGTGGGGTTGTTTTATTTTTTCAAGACAGGGTTTCTCTGTATTGCTTTGGAGCCTGTCCTGGAACTCACTCTGTAGACCAGGCTGGCCTCGAACTCAGAGATCCACCTGTCTCTGTCTCCTGAGTGCTCGGATTAAAGGTGTGCGCCAACACCAGACTGACAGCAAGGTTTTGTAGAGATCCTGTCTCAAACAAACAAAAAACCCAGTGGAGCCTGCTGTCTTCCTCCAGTTCTCATTACCTTCAGCGTTCTGCTGCAGAACATGGTTTGTCACGAGGAGGGATATTTTCTCAGAGACACTCTCATCACCGTAACAGGTCACCATGAGCATGTCAGGTACTACTGAGTCTGGCATTCCATCTTCTGGTATTCAGTGAGCCTGGCTCCACTTCTCTGCCTGATGTCAATGCTGCCCCATGGAACTCCTCTTACCAATGGGAATGTCCTAGCAGATAGGAGAGAGCCAGACAGATCTGAGAATCTGAGGTCGGCCAAGATTCCATGAAATCCTGTCTCAACAAATAAGGAACTAAGTATAAGTGAGCAGCTCTCCTCAGTGGCTATGTGTGGTCTTCAGTGGTGATCTCCAGGCTGTGTGAATTTTCCCATCAATTGACATGTAAGGCTGGTCTCAAAGGCCAGCACTCAGCAGTACAGCTCACTGGCTACTGGCCATTCAACTGCTTCTATAAGCCAGCTCCAACTCTTCCATTTAACAGCGTTTTGTCAAGAGTGAGCTTTGGTGACCAAGGCCCCAGGATCACATCTTAGGTGTGTGTGAACAAGACCCAACAATCCACCAGCAGGTTCAGACTCATACCCCCAGAAACCCACCAGGCCCTCTGGGCTATTTCGGCTACTCTGTGGATGTGGGCTTCTCCCACAATAGGACTACTCTTTCCTGGGTCTGCAGGGCACGGGCGGGTGTAGGGTGACTTGTAGTACGTCATTGTGAAGGGCCTGAACCTTTCCACCTTCCACCATGGCCCCTTGAGTGAGCCATTTCCTGGCACGCTTCCTATCTTCCTCTACAAATGAAGAGCGCACAACAGGACTGACATCCACAGAAACTCCTAAATACTAGCTCCAATTCTTTTTTCTTAATGTGCATTAAATGTTTTGCCTGTATGAATGTGAAGGTGTCACATCCCTTGGAACTGGAGTTAATAGTTGTGAACTGCCACACGGGGGCTGGGAATTGAACTCGGGACCTCTGAAGACTAACCACAGGGCTCGATCTAAACTGCTGAGACATCTCTCCAGCCTCTATAATTTTTGTGTGAGTCCCCCCCACCTCAACAGTTTCTGCTTAACAGCCCTGGCTGGCTGGCTTGGAACTCCCTCTGTAGACCAGGCTGGCCTCCAACTCCGGAGTGCTGGGACTAAAGTCAAGCACTACACAGCCTGCAGTGTTTTTTGAACTCCCCACCACAGCCAAGGATGACTTCTGCTAAGTGCTAGGAATACAGGCATGTACCAACCCAACAGACCTAGCAAATAGATGGGCACTTGAGCCCAGCAGTTATACATCAGCTCCATGGTCTCCTACACTCAACAATGGGGATCTACCTTAGCCTCAAGCCCCCAGCACCTAAACCAAGACTCTGCCATACAGCAGATTCAGAACAACAGAGGCATTGAGTTTACCTGGCAGTAGGCCTTCCAGGCTACCAATGACAGCAATACTGCTGGCTGACATTTAAAACTTCCTCAGCCTGGCATGGCACCGACTTCTCCCATCACCCAGGCAGTCTGGACTTGCTTTGTATCAAAGACTATAGGCAGGCAGTACCCATTTCCGCCACTCTTCCTGGCATTTAAACAGCGGGGCTGGGTGTGGTTTCACAGCTCTAGTGCCAGCACTCAGGAGGCTTAAGGCACAGGGATTCTGGAGCCCTGGAGTTTATGATGAGCAAAGACTGTGGAGTAAGGGCTCATTGCAACACAAAAGGGTGGAGATATCTCACCTGGTACAAAGCCCTGGGCTTGCTACCACACAAAACAAACCAGGCAGATAGAGGGCAGAAAGACAATGTGCTGGAGTGGTGATGCACACTTTTAGTCCCAGCACTCAGAAGGTAGAGGAGGGAGTTTAGAGTTCCAGGGCAGCAAGAGTTACACAGAGAAACTGTCTGGAAAAACCAAAATAAATTAAATGTGATGACAGTTGTACACACCTAAGTTCTAACTACCAAAGTAGACAGAGCCCAGCATAAGATAACTACTACTCAAAACCAAAACGGGGTGGGGAGAATGCTTGACATAGCTGGCGCTTGCTTTGGAAGTATTAGGACCAGAGTTCAACCCCAAAAAAAAAGCAGAGTTGAGAGGGACTTGGGGCGGCAGGGGTGAGGTGGCCGAGGGAGGGCCAAATTCAATTCCTGTTGCCCACAGCTAACAACCATATGTTAACTGGCTTCAGAACACACTCCAGCTAAGCCTGGCAGCATGCATCTTCAATGCTAGCACTTGGCAGAGCAGGCAGATCTTTTGAGTTATAGGCCAGCCTGGTCTACAGGGCAAGTTCTAGTGAAACAAATTAAAAAATGCCTGGATTGGTGACACACTTGGGCAGGTATTGACAGGCAGACCCCTGCAGTTCATAACTTCAATATCAGTAAGAAAGCCAGGCAGTGGTGGTACACACCTAATCCTAGCACTTGGGAGGCAGAGGCAGGTGGATCTCTGTGATTTCCAGACCAGCCTCCAAAGCCACAGAGAAACCGTCTTCAAACCCCACACCCCCCAACCCTCGCAAAAGACCACAAAAGAAACGGGAACACTAAAGCTCTGGGATGTTTATTACAAAGGTAACCCTGATCCTTGAGATGGGCTCATCGGTAGGATTTCTGGTATCGAGCACGGGCGCCAGGACCTCCGAATTTCTTGGACTCACAGCGACGAGGATCAGCTACAAGCAGGGTTCGATCATACTGGATGAGGATATCTTTGATCTCCTTCTTGGAGGCCTCGTCCACATCTGGAGATAAAGGGACAAGAGAGTGAAATAACCACAGGTCTTCCGATCTGTGCTCATAGTTTCCCCTCCCACTAGGAAGAACCATTCCACTCACACTTCTGATAATAAGCCACCAGGGCTTTGGAGATGGACTGTCGGATAGCTGCAAGACACAGTGAAAAAGTCTGTTTAGACCCAGAGCCTTGCTCCAGAGGCTCTCACACCCACAGTCCCAGATCTTGAGACTCACCATAAATCTGGGCCACATGACCACCACCCTTCACACGGACCCGGATATCCACTCCAGCAAACCGCTCCTTGCCCAGCAGCAGAACGGGCTCCAGTAACTAGAGAAAAGGGGAATGAACAAGGTTAAGTCCTAACCCAGACAGCTTAATCACCCTCCTCAGGCGTTCCTCTTGTGTGGTTCCTGCCATCACCAGAGAAAAAAAGATTCAAAGCAACTAAGTGTAAAGACCCTCGGTTTAGTGGCGGAAAACACAGATGATCTACTCTGGAATCCCTATACCATTCAGATTCCCGTGCCCATGGAGACTGGGAGAGGGCTTCAGACATCCTGAAGCTGAAATTAGGAATGACGGGCTGTCAAGAAAGCAGGAAGCAAAGCCAGTTTCTCTGTTCTCAGGATACTGTTAGGGAAGACATCACCAAGACAATTTGCTGGTAATGCAAAGTTCCAACCTGAGCAGTCTGTCTTTCCATCCTCTCCCCAGCCTTCTTTAGCTCACATCCCAGTCTGACCATTTTGGATCAAGTTATGTCCAGCATTGATGACTAGTCCATAGAAAAGCTCCATGAGGACCAGGCCCAGAGCCATCGATCTGTATGACTGCTGTTTCCCCAGTGCACAACAGGGTAGGCACACAAATCCTTCAAATAAACTGACAGTTACAAAACCCCCATACCCAGTATCTAAAGGAAACTGGTCTTTCCCGTTGTGAAACATGTTCTCTCCTTTTGAGAGGAATGCTACTTGTTAAAAAGTATCTTCATGACAGGAGTCTAGTGGCACCATCACCAACGCTGTCTGGACTCACGGTGAACTGTCTTGAGTGTGATATCCCTTCTTACATGTACCAAAACTCATACAACAATGAGCTCTGGGTTGCAAAAGAGGATTTATTTTTGCACCTGTCTCTTAAGTCTTTGCCCACCAGTAAACAAAAACCCACACAGGTGCTACCGATCTCCTGAGACTTCTGAGAACTGCCGCTGGGTTTTTCTTTCACACCGCGCTTGGTTAGGATCGACTCGTGTGGCACTGCTCCTCGGGGTACTAGGATCACGCACGTGAGCCTGCAAACTTACGTTTCTGCGCTATCAGAGGTCGGCAATCGGGGTGGCTAGCATGCACCGCGCTAGTCCCCTGGCCGCCTGCTCCTGGGGGCTGGCTGGCTGGGTCTCCAGACGCTGCAGACCGAGTGCCTTCAGCTCTCCTTACTCTTCCCAACTAGGAAACCCGGCTTCCCCAGCCCCATCTGCGGGTGAGCCAGCGCTCTCCCTGGCCCGGCTTCCCCAGCCCGATCTGCGGGAGAGCCAGCGCTCTCCCTGCCCCGGCTTCCCCAGCCCCATCTGCGGGTGAGCCAGCGCTCTCCCTGGCCCGGCTTCCCCAGCCCGATCTGCGGGAGAGCCAGCGCTCTCCCTGCCCCACCGCGGCTCCCCAATCTCCCAGGGCCTCCGTCCCAGACGCCCGCGCCCAGCCCGCACCTTGTACTGCAGCGTGCGCGGCTCGATCATCTCCAGGGGGCGTCCGTTCACCTTGATGAGCGCGTTTGCAGTGCGCCACGGCCAGCCGTGGCCGTCTTTGGGCATGGCTGCGACTCTTCTCATCGCGAGCTCCTCACCGCACGGCGCCGCCACCGAAAAAGTTAAACCGAGTTCTTAATAGCAGCCATATGATTTTTCTGGTCTCCTTTCCCATCTCATCTCTGGGGGCCAGAAAGGTCACCCGGGAATGCTTTCCCCCGTAAACCTGGTCTTTTAGTTTTAATTTGGCTTGATTTGGCTTTCACAAATCTTTCACTTTCTTCAGCTGCTAATTCTGTCTGCTGCTGTCTCTGTGTTCCAGCTTTCTCTGCTGCTCTTGGTTCAGCTTGAGATTTTTCCTGTCTTTTAATATTTTTGGAGAGTGGGGAGGGATTTCAAGACAGGGTTTCTCTGTGTAGCCCTGGGTTGTTCTGGAACTCACTCTATAGACCCGGCTGGCTTGGAACTCACAAAGATCCATCTGTCTCTGTCTCCCCAAGTGCTGAGATTAAAAGCACTCGGCACCACTGCCAAGCTGTTTTTGAGGGAGGGGGTTGCCTTTTAATTACTTAACTGGCAGAGAATATAAAGCCCATCAAGACACCGGCCTGCACCTAGAGAAGCTACCCTCATAGAAGACCTTTTTATTTATTATTATATCTATGCAATATTATCTATATAATGTTCTGCCTGCAGGCGGGAAGAGGGCACCGGATCTCACAACGGATGGTTGGGAGCCGCCATGTGGTTGCTGGGAATTGAACTCAGGACCTCTGCAAGGGCAGCCAGTGCTCTTAACCCCTGAGTCATCTCTCCAGCCCACCTCCCCCCCATAGAAGATCTTTATCGGGAACCCTCCACATGGTCTCCTTTTAAGATTTGATAATTTGGGGGCTGCAGAGATGGCTCAGAGGTTAAGAGCACTGACTGTTCTTTCAGAGGTCCTGAGTTCAGTTTCTGGCAATCACATGGTGGCTCCCAACCATCCGTTATGAGATCTGGTGCCCTCTGCTGGCCTGCAGACAGAAGGCTGTATACATAATAAATAAATAAAATATTTATTTTTTTTAAGGTTTATTTTATTTATTATGTATACAATACTCTGCTTGCATGTATGCTTGCAGGTGGGAATAGGGCACCAGATCTCATTATAGATGGTTGTGAGCCACCATGAATCTTTAAAAAAAAAAAAAAAAAAGATTTAATACTTTTGTGACTGCAGATTCCCGAGGGAGGCCTCCGATCTCCCTGGAAATGTAGTTACAGGGTACTGGGAACCAAACTCAGGTCCTCTGTCAAAAGCAGCAGGTGCTTTTTTTACCCATCGAGCCAACTTTCGGGCCTTCAATTTGTGTAATGCCCCCCCCAAACCCTCCGCTCTAATTTCCTACCCCACAGTATTCTCCAGCCTACCAGTCCTATGTGAGGAAATCCAGGTTTTAGTTTTTCCATAGTGCCCACGCCCAGAATTCTCAGAATTCAAGAGGATTCTCTCACAGGGTAACAGTTGTCTCAACAGTTGCCTTCCTTTCTCTAGCAGCACAGGGTGCAGGGCCTCCCCTTGTCAGGGAGTTGGAGGGCGGGCCACACAGAAGACTACGTGTGGTCATATAGAGTTGTAGCATCATCACGTGGGAAACTTCCCCAATCCTCCAATACCTTATGAGTTTATGGCCAGTCTGGGCTACATCTGACCCTGCCTCAGAAACAGGTTGGACAGTTGGGCAGTGGTGGCTTTAATCCCAGGGAGGCAGAGGCAGGTCAATCTCTGTGAGTTCAAGGCCAGCCTGGTCTACAGAGCAAGTTCTCTGGGCTGTTACACAGAGAAATCCTGTCTGGAAAAAAAAGTCAGGCACAAACGCAGGGCGGTGGTGCACACCTTTAATCCCAGCACTCGGGAGGCCGAGGCAGGTGGATTTCTGTGAGTTCGAGACCAGCCTGCTCTAATGAGTGAGTTCCAGGACAGCCTCCAAAGTTACAGAGAAACCCTGTCTCGAAAAAAAGAAAAAAACTGATTCCAGGGAACCCACGAGATAAAAAGAGAAAACTCCATACATACACACACATACACACAGCAGTAGTTCTCTGTGAATTAGATACTGTGTGGTTTACAGAGAGTTCCAGGTCAGCCAGGGCTATGTAATGAGACACTGTCTAAACAAAGCGAAACATGAAAACACGAGACTATCCACTTGAATGATCCACACCCTTGGTATTGGTAACTCCTTCCTGAAGCTGGAAAATGAGGGAGAGACCAGCAGTCTCTGCCTGTATGCACTTAGGCTTGCCTGAACAGGTCCACAGGAAAACAGTACAGCTGGTGTTCTGGCTGTCATATTCTGACCCACTACTCCACTTTGGAAGATAAATATATTTCAGACACATAAGTGCTAATTATGGTGATTACACTCACATTTAAATAGTGCTTACTCTGTACCAGGTGATGGTCTAATCTAAGTGTATTGCGTTGGGTAATGTACTCTCCACAATAATTCCATGAGGTGGGCAGGGCCACTCTGTATAGGGATGGCGTCTGTAAGGGACGGTGTTTGTCCTGGACATTGTAGATTCATATTTGTCAACTTTTCAGAAGATGGCAGTAATCCTGATCCATTGGTCCTTTTGACTGCCAGCCTTTACCGCTCCCCCCACCCCCTCAGTCTTGCAGTTTCTTTTGGGAGTCCAGGTTGGCAGGTTGGAATTCACAATGTAACTAATGAGAAGACAGCTTTGAACCCATGATCTTCCTGCTTCCACCTCCCCAGTTCTGGGACTATAAATTCGCAATACATCCAATATTAGAATTGTCCTAGGCTCAGAGGTGGTGCCCCTCACCTTTACCCCAGGACTTGGGAAGCAGAGGCAGGCAGATCTCAGGGAGTTCAAGCCCAGCCTTGTCTACAGAGTGAGTTCCAGGACAGCCAGAAACCCTGTCTTGAGAAACAAAAGTATCTTAAGGAAAGGGTGTCTTTTTTCTTTGTGTTTTAAGCTTTATTTATTTATTTATTTATTTATTTTTGAGACAGGTTTTCTCTGTGTAGCTTTGGAGCCTGTCCTGGAACATGCTCTGGTAGACCAGGCTGGCCTCGAACTCACAGAGATCTGCCTGCCTCTGCCTCCCGAATGCTGGGATTAAAGGCATGCGACCACTGCCTGGCTTATTTTGTTTTTTTTCAATGTGCTCTTAACCACTGAGCCATTTCTCTAGCCCTGGACCTTGTACTTTTTATTCTCCTGCCCCAGAGCCCTGAAAGCCGGGTTTGAAGGTGTACACCACCCAGCCACATTCTTCCTTTTTTTTTTTCTTCTTGTTTTTTCCCAAGACAGGGTTTCTCTGTGGCTTTGGAGGCTGCCCTGGAACTTGGTCTTGTAGGCCAGGCTGGTCTCAAATTTAGAGATCTGCCTGCCTCTGCCTCCCGAGTGCTGGGATTAAGGGCATGTGACACCAACACCCGGCTTCCTGCCTGTTTTTCATTTTGTCTTTTCAGTATTTTTTGTTTATCTATGTCTTGCCTGCACAGATATCTGTGTATCACATGTGTACAATGCCTTTAGGAGCCAGATGAAGGGGATGAATCCCCTAGAAATAGAGATAGGAACAGTTGTCAGCTTCCAGGTGGGTGCTGGGAATCAAACCGGAGCCCTCTGTAAGGACAACAACCCATGTGCCAGACATTGGTGGCGCACGCCTTTAATCCCAGCACTCTGGAGGCAGAGGCAGGGGGATCTCTGTGAGTTCGAGACCAGCCTGGTCTCCAGAGCGAGTGCCAGGACAGGCTCCAAAGCTACACAGAGAAACCCTGTCTCGAAAAACCAAAAAAAAAAAAAAAGGAAAAATCTAATAAACTTGTCCTTGAGCTCCAAAAGGAAAAAAAAAAAAATCATGCTTGTATCCCAGGCAGAGATTCATTCAAGTTCAAAAGCTAGCCTGGTCTATATAATGAGTTGGAGCCCAGCCAGAACCACTTGGTGAGACCCTGTCTTTGTAAAACAAAACAAGCCAGACATTTTTTTTAAAAAGGAAAGAAAACCCGAACTACACTTTATTAAGGCGTGCTTCACACACAGTGAAAGGCAGCATGCAGAGAGCATATTCTGACTGACGCAGGCGGACACATGTGTGCTCCCTCCCGGGCCGGCTCCACGCTCAGCCTTAGGCACCCACTAATCTGCTTTCCTTATGAATAGCTCCGTGTTGCTGACTCAGAGTTTTGTGTGAATGGGATCACAGGCTCTGCTAAATCCAGCTGTCTGGCTTCATCCGCCGTCCATAAATGGTTTTGGAAATTAATTTGTGTTTTCCAGTAGTTGGGTGTCATTTTGTTGTTTGGAGAAAGGGTCCCATTTTGTAATCCAGGACACTTGGATTCTCCTACCTCAGTCTGCCAAGTGCTAGGAGTACAAGGTGGGGACCACCCTTGTAGCTGAAGCATGTGATACTTAAAATTATTATTATTTTTTTCTTTTTTGGTTTTTGAAATAGGGTTCTTCTGTAGCTTTGGAGGCTGTCCTGGAACTCTCTCAGTAGACCAGTAGACTAGGTTGTCTTCAAACTCACAGAGATCTGCCTGTCTTTGCCTCCTGAGTGCTGGGAATAAAGGTGTGCGCCACCAACGCCTGGCATTTGTTTAGTGTGTGTGTATATGTGTGTGTGTGTGTGTGTGAGAGAGAGAGAGAGAGAGAGAGAGAGACAGACAGAGAGACACACACACAGAGAGAGAACATGCATGAGAAAGAGAGAGAGAACATAAATGAGAACATGCATGACAGAGAACATGCATGAGAGAGAGAGACAGAGAGACAGAGAGAACATGCATGAGAAAGAGAGAGAGAATATGCATGAGAGAGACACAGAAAGAGAGCATGCATGAGAGACACAGAGAGAGAACATACATGAAAAAGAGAACATGCATGAGAGACACACACACAGAGAGAGAGAATATGCCATGAGAGAGAGAGAACATAAATGAGAACATGCATGACAGAGAACATGCATGAGAGAGAGAGACAGAGAGACAGAG